TTTTACATATGGAAGGAGCCTTTGACTAAATCTGCTGGCCTTCTAGTGAGTTTCCTTGAACAGCCTTTCCATGTGCTGAAGGCTCTCACACTTCCTGTGGTAGAAAACTATCTAGGAACAGCAAGCAACCCGCCGGCCTCCTCTTCCTTTAGATGTAGAACTTAGTTACTGGAGGAAACTAAGCCAGGTGGTGCCTTTTAAAAAGAAATATTTTAAGCCTTGTGTTTCTCAGTCAAGGGCAGCAGTCTTTAAATTCCCAGTAGCTGAATGGAGTGACTATGAATCAGCCTTACTTTTGCAACTAGCTCTATGTATGCAAATACTCACCACTTTTTTGGCCGCTGCTTGTAATGAGAAGGATTGCAATATAATTTTAAATTGACGTGCGGGCTGGGTGGTTACATCATTTCAGCCATGTCCTGTCCAGGAAACTTTGGGAGTTCCAGAAGGAGGGAGGAATTTAAGCAGAAGAGGACTTTTTGGCTGGTGCTGTCAATATTGTCCTTTACAGACAACTGCTACAATTTAGGAAGTCAGTTTTTCATTGTCTAGGCAAGGTGATTACTTCAATAATTGTTAAAAAACAAAAAAAAAAAGGCTCGGTTTAGGGAAAGGCTGTGATTACTTAACCTAAATAATGTTGAGGCAAAAATCTGATCCTATTTATTTGGTTAGGTAAGTTTAAATAATGTTTCAATAATGAGCAGATCCTTGCACAGGCCATTTATATTATATTTACACTGGGGCCTGTTCTTTCCACCTCTCCAGTCTTATATTCTCTACTTTGGGCTAGCGTTATCGGTTATCCTTATTTGAAATTATGATAAACATTGTGAGTGGCTTCTTATTGCTTGGCCTATAATGTTTGGATTTCATACATTCCAGTCCCCTATTTCACAAGGACATATGAGACAAAAAACTTTTCATTGTGGGTTGGGGTCTTGGTGCCCTCTGGTACAAAAGATTGGTTAAATAAGTGATATTTTACACTCACAATCTTTTTTGTTTGTTTCATTTTGTTTCCAGAAAAATAAGAACTCAGGATAGTGTCAATTACTTAGATGCAGTTCCCTGCCATGGGCCTACTATATGAGTTTAATAACAGGGACACTATTCTCTTTTTTTCTGCTTTGATCATGTTATCCTGTAGCTATCTGTAGCACTCAGGCTCTCAAGTATATTCTGGGGTAGAATAAGACTGATTTTGGGAAATAATTGAAATGTCACTTTTCATCAGAAATGAAAAATGGAATTAGTATTCAATTGTAAATGTACTTTTTTGTAGGACTTAAAATACTCTGTAATAAATAAAAGCACCAAAAAAGGAAATAGAACATTTAATAATGTTTACAAGTTATTAAGGAGATCTGTGGGGATAATTCCATATTTAAATATGGACCTATTTAACAGAATAAACTACATTTTTTCCCCTAAAATTAAAAACAAAACAAAAACAAAAACAAAACTTGCTGCTGCTTCTCCCAGAGTTCAGCTCTGGGGATAACTTGGTTTATCATTAAAGAAGAATATGTTTCATTAGTGGAGCCAAGCGTGATAAAATTTGAATCTTATAGGAGCCCTTATTTTTGTGTCTGATCGTCTGTTTCTTTGGCTGGGTGGTACCCAGTGGTTTTTCCCCTGCAGTTGGGTTTTTCAGGGGTCATTGGCCTCTTTAATGATCTCATAAAAAGGCTGTTACCATTTAAAGAGGCCACATCTTCCAATCCATGTTGCTCATACCTTTTCCATTTCCTTGCCAGGCTCTTTTTCAGGAGATAAGGTTTGAATGGTAAACATTATCTTAATTACAAGTCTGAATATCTAAAGCACTTCAGTTTAAAAATATAAAAGAATATGTAAGAGACAAAGATTGATTTATAAAGTATTTTCAAAACCAAATTCCATGATACCCTCTGGCATATCCAGATTACTTGCCTTCATATAGGAATTTTAATTTTCATGGCTGATTACAATACCTAGATTATATATTCCTAATAATTTTTAGCAATGTGATCTTGATATAAGAGATAAAGAAAGCTAATACGGATGTTGAATTTCTAGAGAATGGAATGGATTGCTTTTCATTATCTGCAAAAAAAAAAAAGATTGCTAACTTTCTGGAGATTGCATTTGGAATGGCTTTTGTTTTCTAAAAATGTTGGTACAAAAAGCAGTGGTCTTTAGAGAAAATATCTGATAATTTTTCACAGCCAAAGAGTTAGTGTGAGCCAAAACACTTTTTTTTTTAAAGAAAAGAGAAAAACAGTAAGCTTAGATGCCAAGAACTCAAGTGAAGTATTCTCTGGCTTAGTGTTTGTATTTGGCACAGATATATCAAAATGTTATTTTTCTTGTGGTTAATGTTATTGTTACTGTCTGTTTAAAAAGTCTTTCTTACAGGCAAAATGCTTTGACTCAAATGTCATACCTTGGGATCTTACAGTGTATGGTCTGCAGTGCGTAAGGTGGGAACCAGAAACAAAAGAACTAGATTTTGCTTCGGAAGATATGGCAGACTGTGTGTTAAACTGGTTCTGTAATAATAACTACCAGTTAGCGTATTTTCTCTTACTATAATTATATTTTTTAAAGATTTTATTTATTTTTAGAGAGAGGAAGGGAGGGAGAAAGAGAAACTCAAATACTTGGGTGCCTCTTGTGCACCCTCTACTGGGGACCTGGCCCACAACCTACGCATGCACCCTGACTGGGAATTGAACCGGTGACCATTTGGTTCGCAGGCCGGTGCTCAATCCACTGAGCCACACCAGCCAAGGCTTTTTTTTTTTTTTTTTTTTTTTAAAGCTCCCATTTATTAAACACCCTGTGGTAGTAGCCTTTATAAGTAACATCTTACATTCTTATGGTAACCCAGTGAGGCCGGTACTATTATGCTTCCTATTCTATTACACATAAGAAAACTGAAGTTAAAGAGAGACCAAGGAATTTTTTTTAGAATCACATAGGTAGTAATGTTTCTGAGCTGGAAACTGAAACCAGGTCTGCATACTTCCAAAGATCTTCTTACCCTAACTTCCCCTACTCTGCCCTTTATCACAAGGGTAAAACCAGTGCCTCTCGGCTTTCCCTGTAAAAGCCCATTGATATCTCAAAGCAACTTCATTTCAGATGCAGAAATCTTGACTCAGTTTAGTGGTTTGCTGAAGGACAAAGCTGGTGATCACATGTTCAAATTCAGGGCTTTTGTGACACTGCTCTAACTACTAAACCAACCAAGTGAATCCCAGGGTTACCTGGACCAGATCGGTACAGCAAAAAAAAAAAAAAAAAAAAAAGCAAAATTTGAGAATGATAGCTGTCAAAATTTTGCTTTGCCAAGTAATAAAAAAAAAACCCCAAAAAACACAAGCCTATCCCATGCCTTTTCACAAAAGAAAGGACTTTTATTGCATTTTTAAGAAAGGACATTTCAATGGGAGAAAACAGGAAGGCATAATTTCAGAATAGAGTTGATTAGAATGAACCAATTCAACTTTATGAAAAACTTTGTACTGACTTATTTTTTCCTCTCATTTTGCCACAAACTGCTGATCACTTGGTTGCAGACCCGTTTTTGGTATCCATTCTCCTACACCATGTTTTCTCACAAATCTAACAACCTGTCACCTGTTAATGAATTATCACCTAGTCTGTTCTCAGAGTGTTGATTCTGTGATCTTTGTAGAGTCTAATGATATATTTTGTGTGGTGAGCTTCATTCTTGTCATAACTTCATCTTATTTTGGGGCAGGGTAGGCAATCTGAAGAGGAGAAGAGACAATTGAAGATGATTCTTGGTCAGCCCCTTTCATTTTCACTTTTTTGGTGTATCTTGCTTGCCTAGTATCCTTTGCTGTTCAATTATTTCATTTTCTCTTATTTTCCAATATCCTTACCTTGGCATTCATCATGAAACTTATGGGACCACTGGTAGAAGGGATTTTAGAACCAACAGTCTTTGGATTAAATCAAGTGAAAGGGAAAAGAGGGACATCATTTCTGGGTGTGGGCAGTGCCCGCTACAATGCCTTCCTTATACATAGTAGGTACTCAACAGATACTTGTTGGACCAGTGAGTCTTACTTGTAACCTATTCAGACAATGCTAACTCTTAGACTTTATGCTATTTTTGTGTGCATGGGAAAAGCTCAGAATTTGTTAGTTGGAAAAGTTTTAATAATACTAGATTTCTAAGAAGTAGAGCTTCTTGGATTATATAAGCCTCTTCTTTCTCTTGCTTTAGACCAGCTTTGCTGTCAAACAAATGATACCTCTGCCTGTGTGGTGATATGCTGAGGAAAGAGATTAAGAATTTATTTATTTATTTATTTATTTACCCTGGCTGTTGTGGCTCAGTGGACTGAATCACCAGCCTGCGAACCAAAGGGTTGCCAGTTAGATTCCCAGGGCAGGGTACATGCCTGGGTTGTGGGCCAGGTCCCCCACGGGGGCGCATGAGATACAACCACACATTGATGTTTCCCTTTATCCCTCCCTTCCCCTCTATAAATATAAATTAGTAAAATCTTTAAAAAAAAGAAATACTTTTTTAACTATCCAAATTTGTGAAGATTGGGATTTGAGCTTTAAATTCCATGTAACAACAAGAGTGGTTTCTGATGGCAAGAACCCCCTCTGCTTACTTTATTCAAAGAGCTTCATCAACTTAATCAGTTGTTACAGTAACTAAAGGAGCTTTATTGTGAATGTAGAATTTAAAGAATACTTTAGGTTTTTTCTATTTATTATATTTTTCTTTTGCAGTAAAAATTTTCAGCTCCCTAACAGTAAATAATAATTGGTGGTAAATAATTCTGTTTCAAATGAGAAAATGCACTGGAGAAAGGCTCATTTCCAATGTTTTTGTTATTATTTCAGACCAAAACCTTGTGCAAGCAAGCCCAATCATGGTGCATCCAGATTCTCCTCAAAAGTGAGACTCTCCAAAGGACCAATGACTCTGTTCTCCGTGCCCTTTCATATTTTCCTACTCTGTAGCCATGTCTCGACCCCGCCGTGCAAAGCCTTCCAGATTAGTCAGGAAGGAAGATTTAAACAAAAAGAAAAACTGCCAACTGAAGAAGACATGCAAACCAGCCAAAAAAAATGTAGCATCAGTCAAGACAATGAACCCTGGAAAATTAAAGCAATTAACCCAAGAAAGAGATGTTAAGAAGAAAACAGAACCCAAACCACCCATGCCAGTCAGAAGCCTTCTGACGAGAGCTGGAGCAGCACGAATGAATTTGGAGAGTACTGAGGTTCTTTTTCAGAACCCAGAGTCCTTAACTTGCAATGGGTTTACAATGGCTCTCCGAAGGTCCTCTCTTAGCAGGCGACTCTCCCAACCCCCTGCGGTCATAGCCAAACCCAAGAAAGTTTCAGCTCCTAAGAATTTAGAAAAGCAACGTGAGTGTGATGACAAGATACTTACTAACACGGAAGTAAAGCACTCAGCAAATGATTCTGTCCCAGCGCAAGACCCTTTAAACCCTCCTGATACAGAGAATCTAATTGGCACACAAAATACATCTTTAATTAAAAGTGAGAGCCAAGGGACAACCCAATCTCAGTCCCAAAAGGTTGAGGATTCCAAAATAAATTTTCCTACTCATAGTGACCCTGCAGCAGAGATCCTTTCTGGGGCACTGGAAGGGACACGTGGTGGTGAAGGACTACCCTCTGAAGAGATGTTAAACGATATCAGTGACTCCCCTAGAATATTTTCTCAGGACACTCTGTGTGCTCCTTTGCTCCAAAGAGCAGCTCTCAAGGTTACCTCTGAAGGAAAGAATAGCATTCAGTTAGAAGATGTGGGTTCACGAGTAGACTCTGTTAAGCTCTCTGATTCTTGCCTGAATCCTGTCAAAAGTGAACATGATTGCTGCCCCACCTCCAGCTTTAATAAGGTTATATCTGAACTGGACCTAAGAAACTATGTGTCTTTTGGTGGGTCAATATATCCTACCTCATTATTAAAATTCCTCTTGGCAGGCTCAGAACAAGGAACCATTGCTGCTAAACCAGGTGATGTAGAGGTACTCAGAGCTACCCCCGATCAGCAGGAAGTTCCTAAAAATATCCCTGTCATAGGACAGGCCTTTAGTGCTGTCCCATGTCAATGGAAAGTTCCTGGTGCTAAACCAGTTCATGGAGAAGCTCTGGGCGAGACCACAGGCCCACCTGAGACCTCTGGTGCTATTTCAGTCCAAGGACAGGTCTTTGGTGCTATCCTAAATCAGCAAATCCTTGGTAAGGGTGGTGGTACTGCCTCAGACCCACCTGTCTTTCTTCCTGCTCCTCTACACCGAATTGCTACCTATAATGCTCTCCCAAAATGGCCTGTTCCCCAGAGCACTGTTTCATATGGGCTTGAGGTCCAGGGCACTATGCAGATTCTGTCTTTGGGCTCAGGTCAGACTCCTCAACCATTAAAAAACTCAGAGATAAATTCAGTACCTCCAGTAATGGCCATAAGCAATACAGAAAATGAGAAGCAAGTTCATATAAGCTTTCTACCAGCTAACGCTCAGGGGTTCACATTAGCCCCTGAGAGAGGACTTGACCATGCTTCACAGGGAATTGTCCAACACTCCCAGGCTGGTCCCAGTAAATTGGAAGGAGGGAGCTCCCAGATCAATACCACAGTGGTGTCGAGGCCAGTGTCACTTGCCAGTACCTCCTCTTCCGCTTCCTACACAACTTTGCTACCTACTTTGGAGAAGAAGAAACGAAAACCATGTGGAGTCTGTGAGCCCTGCCAGCAGAAGACCAACTGTGGTGAATGTACTTACTGCAAGAACAGAAAGAACAGCCACCAGATCTGTAAGAAGAGGAAATGTGAGGAACTGAAAAAAAGACCACGCGTCACCGTGCCTTTGGAGGTGAGTAAATAGCCAAGGGCCCAGGAGACACCTGTGGGACTTGGTAGAGTGATCTTTGTGGGGACAGTTTGCTTCAGTATCAATCATACCCTTTTACGGTGATGTGAAATATTGCTTAAAGTTATCTGTAAGAATTTGTGGACCTACTACCTGCAATATGTCTTGTGCAGTGACACATGCACTTATTTTTAGAATTTGCCTCAGAAACTGGAACTAACAGTTTTTTCATTATATAATATGATGGAGACATAAGTAAATTGTATGAAATGTGATTTTGCAAATATTTCCATCATGCCTCATTTTGGCTAAGTGTCTTTTTGGAAGTCACAGATTTAAAAAAAATTAAGAGTGGAACAAATTCATTAACTTCCTTGCAGCTTTCCTCTCAACTTCTGGCAGGTGATTTCTGTCTCCTTTACATATCTCACAGGGTTGTTGGGATTAAATGGTAATTAGAAGTTGAGCCTGGCACAGCTGGTGTGCCTGTAATTCCAGCTTCTCTGGATGCTGAGGCAGGAGAATCTCTTGTGCCCAGGAGTGCTGGGCTATAGTGCCTGCACTAAGTTTGGCATTTTAATATGGTGACTCCCAGGCGTGGGGGACCACCACATTGCCTAAGGAGAGGTGAATCAGTCCAGGGCAGGAGTAAGTAGGTCAAAACTCTGGTGCTGCTCAGTAGTGGGATTGCACCTGTGAATAGCCACTGCACACTAGCTTGGGCAACAAAGAGGGATACGATCTCTTGCCCCTCCCTGGTTTAGGGAATCCTATATCTCCCAATATTCCTTATGATATATAAACATTAGTTCTCATAATTATATTTTGTGAACCTAGGGTAATAAAAGTATTGGTTGGCTTAGACTTTATTTAAAGAATTTGATGGAGCTTGGTTAATGCTCAAATTTGCTTTTCAGACCTTTAAAACATCTGTCAATTATGGTGTTTTATGATTTTTAGCTCACTCACTTCAAGTTAATATTTATTTTGTGTCTATTATGACTACAGGTATGGTAGAAGAGACTAAAAGCGTTAAGGATTTAAATTCAATCAGCCGTTTCTATTTCATTCTTGACTTAAACTACCTGCCCCCAAATGCTGATTTTCTAAAGTATCAAGCCTTTGCAAACAAAAGATCAGACATTTAAACCAAATGTATTGATGGGAATTTAAGGTGTTTCTAAAACACTTAGTTATTGTAAATCTTATTTGCAATGAATAATCTTCCCTTACTCAAGTAAGTTCACAGTATGAGAAGTGATCACAATGTTGCTGGTAACTTAAGGGTTTATAAACATACATCTGGAACATGTAGTAGCAATGTCTTTAGCAGAAATACCTCCCTAGTAAGCTCTTGTTTTGTATTATTGCCAGTGACATCATTGCCGGAGATAGACTATATTTCTAACAAGTATAAACACATTTGTTCTGTTCCTTTCTAAACTTGCTATTCGTGCCCTGGCCAGGTGGCTCAGTTGGTCCTGATGTACCAAGGTTGCAGGTTCAGTCCCTGGTCTGGGCACATGCAGGAAGCAACCAATGAGTGCATGGATAAGTGGAACAACAAATCCATGTTTCTCTCCCTTAAAACAAAACAAAACAAAACAAAACAGAAAACCATGGCTATTCATCTGGCAGTACATACTTGGTTCAGTGGCTTACCTATAATCACATGGTCACCCAAAATGGAAAATCTACTCATCTTTCATGCCTTCTACTCATTCTTCTAGATTTTCTTGTTCTACAAGATCTGAGCATATCTACCTCTCCATTTTCCTGGCCACTACTACAGCTGAAGTCTTTATCTCTTACTGGTACAATTTTAGTGTTCTCTTTCTTACCAGCAAGTACTTACTGCACTTCTACTCTGCATTGTGCGCTGGGGACATAGTTTTGATTGAACCAGCCAGCAGGGAAGTGAGGATGTTGAACAAGCTTTCCTTAGTACAGTTCAACCTTTTTTTCTGAAAACCTGATTCCCCTACTTAAATACACTTAGTGTTCTCCTGTATGTGTGATACATCTCATGAAAGAATACAGATCAAAACTTTTAGTGCCTTTCAATTAGAGATGAAACCCAGATTTGTTAGCATGGAGCACAAGACCTTTAAGATCTTGGCACACTGACCTCCTCTTTCTCGTTTGCTGTCACTTCTCCCCACATTGTACTTGAAATTTCAGCAGTATTTGGCTTCTTGTAGTTACACAAGCTCACCATGCATCTTCCTTCCTCAGCACGTATGCTCATGGTACATCTTTCTTTCCCTATCTAACAAGACTCCACACATTCACTCAACCCCTCACTGTGCTACAACTATATATTGGTGTTCCCCAAGGGCTCTATGTTTTTCTAGTGCCTGTTTAGGCTGGTACAATGATAAGCACTCAAATACTTGTTAGTTAAATGAAAAGAGAATATATTTGCAATTCAAATAATCAGATTTATAAATGTAAATGTTGGTATGGGGGGTTTATTTATGTAAATTTGCTCTGGCAAGCAAGGTGGCCACTGTTGTCAAGTCCTGTCAGTGTGATGGATAAACGATGTTGGCTGTTGGTAATAATCTCCCAAGCATCATGTATTTTATTTTAAAAAGATCTTTAATTTTGACATAATTCAGACATATACAAGAGAGATACAGAGTTTGGTATGTCTTTCAGCCAAATGATAACATTTTAACGTTTTACTTTATCTCTTTTTATCTCACCTCTGTCTCACTATCTCAGCTCTCTATTTTTTCAGAACCAGTTGAGAGTAAGCCAAAGACATGATTTTCCATTATCACTATATACTAAAGAGTGTATTTCTTAAAAAAAAAACAAGGATATTCTCTGAAATTATTATCAAAATTAGGAAATTAACATTGAACCATTATTGTTATCTAACCATTAATCTTTATTTGTATTTCTTCTATAAGAAAAATGTCTTCTTGGCCTCCTTGTGGAACAGTTCCTTGAATTTTAAAAACTACCCTGGCTGGTGTGGCTCAGTGGATTGAGTGCCGGGCTGTGAAACAGGGTCACAGGTTTGATTCCCAGTCGGGGCACATGCCCAGTCGGGGTTGTGGGCTGGGTCCCCAGTAGGGGGCATGCGAGAGGCAACCATACATTGATGTTTCTCTCCCTCTCTTTCTCCTTCCCTTCCCCTCTCTGGAAGTAAATAAATAAAATCTTAAAAAAAAAAACTTTATTAAGCTATAACTGGCACAGAATAAACCACATATTTAAAGTATACATTTTGATAAGTATGGCATACATATACACTGTGCAACCATTACCACAATCGTAACAGTCATAACCTATCACTTCCAAAAGTTTCTTTGTGCCTACTCGCCTCCCTGCACCCTTTTTCCTCAGGCAAACACTGTCTTTCCATCACTGTAGATCAGTTTGCATTATCTAGAGTTTGATATAAATGGAACCATACAATGTATGTTTTAATTTTTATTTCTGGCCTAAAACAGTTCCTCAGTTTTTGTCTTTTATGACTTGGCTACTTTTGTCAAGTGCAGCTTACTAATTTTGCCCCTCAACTTTCACTCCCTAATTTTAGCATTTGCTGGTGATTTTTGCCTGATGGTTGCCAATAGTAATTCTCTATTTCCATTATTGCTTTTAAATGTATTAGCTTAAGGAAAAGCTTTTCCTTCTTATTTATTTCAGTGTGAACTTGAAGGTTTTTATAATAGTAAATAGGTTATAACCCTTTATTATCATTTATTTTGTTTATTTTTTATTTTAGAAAGGGAGAGAGAGGGAGGGAAGGAGAGAGGGAAGACGGGGCGGGGGGCGCGGGTAGAGAGAGATTTGTTCCACTTATTTACGCATTCGTTAGTTATTCTTATATGTGCCCTGATCAGGATTGAACCTACAACCTTGGGGTATAGTGACAATGCTCTAATCAACTGAGCTTCCTGGCCAGGGCTATTATTTATTTTGATGCTGAAATTGTCCCAGGGAGTTCCTCAACCATTTGTTGAATAAATCTTTATTTTCTGGCAGAAGTGTTCTAGGCTCTTCTGCCTTTTTGTCCTGCCCTAGACTTAAACTCAGCTACTTACAATGCAGCTACTTATCCAAGGAAACTTGGTTCCTTTTAGTGGAGAATGATGCTTAGAAAGCAAGACCTTTTTAAAAAAGATTTTATTTATTTATTTTTAGAGAGAGGGGAAGGGAGGCAGAGAGAGAGAGAAACATCAATGTGTGGTTACCTTTCATACACCCCAATCTGGGGACCTGGCTCACAACCAAGGCATGTTCCCAGACTGGGAACTGAACTGGAAACCCTTTGATTCATAGGTCGGCACTCAATCTACTGAGCCACACCAACCAGGGCAGAAAGCACGATCTTAATGATAGATGTGATCATGGTTACTCGAAGGTCAGAGCTGTGTTCAAAAGTTACTTAAGTTAGTTCTCAGTCTCTCTCACACTCACACCATTGTCACCCTTCAAAATGGTTATGTTCTTCATATCAAATACAATTTTAATATATTTCTGTTTATTTTCTACTTCAGGGTTTCCCTATACTTGATGATAGTCATATTCTCTCTGTTTTGATCTCTCGCCCCACAAAGTTACCTTTATCATTGACAAAGTGGATTCTGAAGAATGTGCTAGGTTGTCCTTTTACTGAACTTTGACAGTAGATACGCTCATAGAGAGGCAGAGGCTAATACAGGCCCTCGGAGGGAGTTCCTTTGAGAAAGCAAGGAATAGTTGGTAGTCCTTTTTTTCCTTAATATTATGTTTATGAGATTTATCTATAATGTTGCTTATCATTGTAAATATTCATTGTCATTGCAGTATAGGATTCCATTGTATGTATATAGCACAGTACATACTGTTAATAATAGTGCTACTATGAACACTATCATAAATGTCTTTGGTGAATATATGTATGCATTCTATTGAGTATTTTCCTAGGAGTAGAATTTCCAGGTCATAGAATATGCATAGTTTAGCTTTTGTAGATGTTAGCAAACAGCTGTAGTTTGTGTTCC